CTAGGAGGAGAAATCATAACAGCCTTGACAGACAACAGACCGAAGGAAAGAAGAGAGGATAGCGCAGCGGGCGGCGCGGCGGGGTAGGGTGGATGACGGGATTACGGTGGCTCTGATACCATAAAGAATATCGCTGTATTTTTTTATTATTTTCGTCAAAAGGAAGAATAATTTTACAATATACAAAACCCTAATATATTAAAACTATACAAAATACCTAAACTGCTCTCGTACTATTATAAATACAAAAATACCCCTACACATAATATATCTAACACTCATCTACCAGTATCGGTTAAAAGGACTTAATGTAGAACAAAATATAAAACTAATTTACTTATAAACTTAAATGTGCTCCAATTGCATTCACAACCGGAAGAAAAACAACAAAGACTAATAGTGCCTACGATACATGATTGAAGCTCTTCGTTATTAGGGTCATATGCATCCTACCAATCAACCATACATATCAAGAAATAATTGATATAGCATTCAAAATTAAAATTTCATAGAAAATGGAAAATAAAAAAATAAAAAAAATACAAGTTTAAAAAACTTTTGAGAACTTTTGCTTAGTGCTTGCCAAAGCTTTCTCACATTTGATCATAATCATCTACTTGTCCATTGAACTTGTTCATCAATTCTTATCTTTGACTATCTTTTAATAAATATCATTAAACATGTCATTGCTCACGAGCACATACAAGATCAATTCTCTTCAAATGTGAGATGATTTTTTTTTTTATTTTTTTTTATATATATATATTCTAACTCACACAATATTTCATAAGTAAACCCCACACTATATACAAACAAATATCTAAAAAGGGCCTATATACAATATAGATTCAATATAGATTCTGCAAATATAGATTCTGCCTGATCAAACATCCGAGTTATCAATTACTTTAGTGTTACCTTGATTAGTATGCAATAATCCTTTACCAGGATACCCTTTGATGCACCTTAGAATCCGAATTACAACACCCAAGTGAGCATCGCATGGAAACTGGATGAATTAACTGACAACAAACGAGATATTAGGCTGAGTAAGTGTGTGATAAATTAGCTTACCAACCAACCTACAATATCTACCAACATTAACTAATGGCTCCCTTGTCTTGGAAGAACCTTGGAATTTAGATCCATAAGAGATTCTATTGGCTTGCAGGTAGACAAACCAATTTGTTTACAATTTTGAGGAGCAATACCAATTGAGCACTCAATATTAAGGAAATTCTTTAATGGCCCCATGACTTTAGTTTGAAAATGCTAAAATAAATGTTTTAACTGGGTGACCATTTCTTGATCATTCCTAGTAAGAACAAATAATAAAGTATAAACACTTACCACTTGACATGTCTTTATAAAAAGTAGAATGGTTTTATGCACTTCGAACGGTGCCAAATTCCTGTATAAACACTTACACTGGAGCAAAGATTCACTAAATTGAAGACCACATTGTATAGACGTTGAATATTATTGGTGTATAGAGTCTTGGCATACTTCCCGAGTTCAATAGCAATTGTTAAAATTGATGAATAAAGGATGCAAGATTGGATCAATTGACTACCAAAGTAAACTATATAGTAAGGCATAGTCTTAAGCCAAGAAACTTTGTTTTTCTGCAACCTAATTGAAAGGAGTGACAAGATGATCTGCCAAACCCTGACCCACACACCACATTTGAAAAGCCTTGGCCCATGGACCATAATTAGATCCTCCAATCAATTGTTCAGTAGTGATTGTAGGAGTTGAAAAAGTCCCAATAAAGAAATTAGACATTTGGAATGAAAAAAGCCAATCAATCACAAACTAGTACAAAAAACTAGGAGGGCTCCTGGAGAGAGAAATAGAGGTATCCTGATGGCAGGGATGATCTTAAAGTCTTGGAGAAACTTTTTTCGCTGCTAGAGGATGGCGTTGACATGGAAGATGCATTAGACGTCGGAGAGGAGGCGTTAGAAATCTAGTGGGCCGCCAGAGAGGATAACGATGATGAAGAGATATAGCTTTGACCTTTTTGAGGGATGATGATCTAGTGGCGGGATGAAAGTTGCCATCGTTAAACAATGGCAGAATGATGGAGTTCAAATGGGGGTTGGGTGATGGGGTTCAAACAAAGGGATGATAGGGTCAATGTTGTGCATAGATGGGCTTAGGGTTGATGTGTCATTTATTGAAATAAAGGCCTATGGAAGCTTATAAACAATACGGATGCACTAAGACAAGAAGCTTGGAATTTGGATATATGTGCAAATCTATTGGCTTTCATTCAGACAAACCAATTTCTTCAAAAATATCAAACGGGTACTTCCGTTGTAGTCTAGATGGTTAGGATACTCGGCTCTCACCTAAGAGACCCGGTTTTGTGTCCCGGAAACGGGACCATGTTGGACATATTATGTAATAGTTAGCCTAATATAAATTAGCCTAATTTTATAGGTCTTTTTTGGTTGTTAGTATATAATTTGTATCCTAAGGTTCACGGATGAAATGAAGTTTCACTGCTTCAAGCTTTCATGGTATTAGAGCCATTTTAGGCTCGGTTGCTTACTCTCGCTACTATCTCATCCGAGTCGCCAGCAGTTTCTCACTAGCGCACCGGCATATTATGCTCCTCATTGGTCATCTCACACCGCAAACTAAGTTTTAACAACTGTCTCACCATTGTTGCTTCTCATTGATATCGTGTTATCATGTTGTCTGGTTGCCCTCACCAGTTGCCCTTACTGCCCTATCATAGTGCCCAGATCACTTGTGTTTCTTGTTGTTGCCACTTATGTCTGGAAACCCGTCACTAATTTGTTGTTGCGTTAATTTTTTATTGATAGGGCTTTCTTTACTCCCAATGTCTAGTTCATTCACAGGGACCCTTTCTCCGTAACTCCTGCAATTGCAATTGAACAATGTTGGGGGATCTAATGTTAAGGCTTCACAGACCTATCTTGTAACTTCTTTTGAATAGGTTGTTGAGTCCGACAAAGTTGCTTGGTTTAAGGCTGATGCATTGCTATGTAGTTTGTTTTGACAGACAATTGATCCAACTCTGCGTCCTTTTTTCACCAGTTTTACCAACTGCTATGAATTTTGAAACCATGTCAAAACTCTATAAATCAATAGTATTCAACGTTTGTATCAACAATTCCTAAATATCTAGGCAAACTTTCATCAATAAAAATTTAGCTCAATTCTGTTTTTCCTTTTGGGAAAATAGCTGATGAAGAGCTTGTTCAACGATATTATACATCCTTTATAGTGTTCGCACTTATTGACCTTAGTTTTGATTTGAGCTTGGTTTCAGAACAATTTCTTTCTAGCTCGGTTATTTAAACCTTAGATGATGTCTATTCTTGATTGTTACGTGTCTCATCGGTCAATCATCTAACTATTGAATCTGGAAACAAGTTTGTTCTACTATCTTTGGCTTCTTCATTTGTGTGTGACGTGGGAGCCCTTGGAATCAAAATGCACTTCATCCGCATTGCACTTATTGCAATAAGTGATGCCATACTATGAAAATGTCTTAACTTACATGACCGGTCACTTGGGCTAATGTTTCACAAGCTGAATCTCTTCCATTGTCAAGCTACTGTATAGTTAATAACTGGTTTTGATTTTGAAGAATACATGGCATACCAAGTTTAGTAAGAGTCATCTCCTTCACCGGCTGCCTTTCTCGCTCACTCTGGTACCTCTCGTAGATCATGGATCCTTGATGCATATGCCACTAGTTGTATTATGGATGATGACGAGTGTGATATTTGGGAAGTTTACTGTTTTTTAGAAGTTAATGTTCTCTTCATGATGTTTGTGAGTGACATCTTAGAACTTTGTTCTTTTGATGATGATGCTTGGTATTTTGGTATGTTTGTGCTTCAATATTTTATTAGAAATTTAGTAAATTTTACTAATTCAAGTTTATAATTTTATTTTATATAATAAATATTAGAAATTTATTATAGGTAGGTGACAGGTCACCGTATTGCCAACTTGTCGCTTTGGCAGAAACCGTGTCGCCTAGGCAATATATCGGTCCAGTGGCGCGTTGCCTGAAACCTCACCGTGGCAATATTGAGTGTGTAAATTCTGAGCGAAGATCAGGCATTTGAAATCTATGATCATAGTGCATCATTGCAGCAGTTTTAGTTGTGCTGGTGTGGATAAGTGTGATGCATTGTCTTAACCTTTGAATATTGTGGAGATGAACATTATACACATATTGCGCATTAAGATTATTACAAGCAGTATTTAGAGTTTTGTGACTTTTGTCAACTTAATCATCCAAAATCTCTACTTTATCACCTTACATACATCAAATCTATAGTAATGATCATTTGCTTCTAATCAACATAATTACACTAATGAATCACAAACTCTACCTATAGTGCCTTGCAATGAATTGAAATTTACTCCAGATAAGCATTGTAATCTATTCTAGAAACTAATAAGACTGCAATGAGTTCGGTAGGCATCACACCTGGAAGCTGGAATGTCTTCCTCCCTTTATAGTGTTAATTCGAATTGGAGAATTGGAAGCAGAGTTAAATTCTTAAAAATAATGTAGAATGTTATTTGTAATAAATTTGTAGAAACCTACTGAACATAAAAATAAATCTCAACAGAACCTATACGAAAATAGCAACATGTTGACAAGTGTTCACTAACTAATCGAGAATGTACTTCACTTAAGGGAGAGATATGCTTTGGTGATCATCCAAGCTTGGAGCTTAGGTCAAAATCTGGTTGATGATAAGTTTTCCTTTATAAGCCAATATGATCTTGTAATCTATATAGTGCAAGTTAATATTGTCAGGGAAGAAAGGAGTAATTGCAGTAACTTGTACCCAGAATGTGATGAGAAGTCTATCTTTCCTGTCAATTTGTTTTACCTCAATTTATTTTTAAATCTCTCAATTCATTTGATATTGATAATAGCTCTTTTTTAAGGTTTTTTTGGGTGTTAAAAATTTCCCTCTATTTACACGTTCTTTGGTCAGGAAATGATTGGAAGTACCTCGATTTTCATTGCTCTCCTCAGATCAATGTTACGGCTGAAGCGGTGAGTAAAACCAACCACATATGTATTGGGAATAAATATTTTGTTACTTCAGTCATGGATGAAGTGGACGTCATGTTTTGAAATAATTCACTTCCTAGAATTAGATAAAGAAACCAGTACTAAGATATAATACTCTAGAATCTTATTGCATATCATATGACATGCTAATTACAGTGTGCTTTTCTGAGTTTTGTCTAGCATGCCTAGGTACTGCCATTTCGCATGTTATAGTGTGTTTAAAAATCCTCCTTGTCATTTTCCCTACATGATTGTTGTGCAAAGAGAAAGGAAATGAAGAAGAGAACTGTTATTACATAGTTTATATTTTCAATACATCACACAGCCATTTAAAGACAATCGGCTTAGAAATTAAAGGAGGATGGGAAACAAAAGAGGCGATGAAGATGAAACGGAAGAGTCAAAGACAACCTTAACACCTACTAAATCAAAAACCTAACTCCAATAAATATTTCTAATTAATATCTAATATCCCCCCTCATGTTAAAGCATACATATCATAAGCTAAGCTTCTTAAAAATGTATTACACGTGCGAGTCTCCAAAGCTTTTGTAAATAAATCAACAAGTTGGGTTTTGGACTGGAAATAAGGCACTTGAATAAGGTATACTAAATAAGGCTTTTGTAAATTGTGCTTTCTAATTTTGGAGACTACATCTTATTGTACATCCCTATGTCATGGTTAACACAAAAAAATGATTATTTGGCAATTTCTGACTTAAATAAACTAGTATGCATGAGTGTGTTTGATTTTGCAAAAGGATTCATATGTGAGGAAGAATTGAAAGTATAGAAAGTTGACCAGAAAGTTGACCGGAAAGGATTTGAGTGGTGTTGGATGTTGGCCCCCCTTAAGAATTTGCATTTTGGTTTTGCTTCTTATTTCATCATTTTATGTTGCAGCTTTGCTGTTGCATTCAATGGAAGCTCCAGCAATCCTCACTTGGTGGCTTTAGTTGCTCAAGTAAGATGTTATTGATAGTAATCAACTTGCGCGTTTGGGCTGCTAATACAATACTTTCAAACCAATAAAAAAAAAAATCTGCAATGCGTTGCTGAGGAACTCTTTCTGTTACAGGATGAGATAGTTAGCGCCAGTGGTCAGGTTGAACCGGCTGGAATGCATATGATATATCTTCCATATTCTGATGATATCAGACCCATTGAAGAGGTAGTTTTCTGTTTCCTTCTGCTAGTTTTTGTTTAAAGATCTTAGATTTAAATAGATATTGTGGGTCTGCAGCTTCACACAGATAAAAATCCTGTGGCACCTCGGGCAACTGATGACCAAATAAAGAGTGCCTCTTCATTCGTGAAGCGTGTTGAGCTAAAAGAATTTTCAGTGGGCCAATTCTCAAACCCTGGTAAGGTCGATATCAGGTGTTTTTACCCATGAACATGCTTTTCAAGCATATGATATTAGCAATAAATGGAGAAATGGCTTTTGTAACCGCACAATAATGTCAATTATGATGGCGATCAGAGTTACTAATTTTTTAAATAAACCAGATTATTTTTCCCCACACTAAACTGTTTTGAGAGATACACCAATGTGTCAAAAAGGCATATTGAATCAGGAGATAAGAATATGACAATTAACACTACACGTGTGGATTTGTGGAAAGCATTTCTTCTAGTTGTCTGGTTTCTTCCTGATCGCGGGAAGAGTAATTTTGACCAAAATTTAATATCAAATGGAAATTATAAATACTACATAAGTATTTTATGAACTAGTCAATGCCTGCCTTGAGAATGTTTTAGCACTTAGTAAGATTTTAATTTGAGTGTATTTTATTCAATTTTTTGATATTGTTATGACTTAGAAGAAGGCTAATAACACATTATAACAATATCTTACAATACCAGGGTTGTATGTTATAAGATTATGTGTGTACGCGGAATAAGAAGATATAACTGCATGGGCTGTTTACAAAGCAATACCTACATTTTTGGTATCAAATGCATGATTAAATTACTCTGTTTCTTGATCTTCTATACCTTAATGCCTGGAGGTTTGTTAATCCAAAGATACGCGACTTAGCTAAGTTCAAAGATTTGAAAATAGAAGTGCTTCCTTCCCCTCACATTAAGTAATCTATCGAAGGGATTGTGCTCCAGGTATTATCAGTGCAGTTTAGTTTCCTGAGGAACATAGTATAATTGATGAAAGAATCTGAACCGTGTGGGAGTTGGTGCCCCTATGTGCACGCAACAGAAATTGAAGGTTTCACCAACTGTTTTTCATATGCTTATGACATCATGATCACAGGCTTGCAGAGACATTATGCAGTACTACAAGCTCTGGCTTTGGATGAAGATGAAATGCCGGATGTCAAGGATGATACTCTTCCTGATGAAGAAGGCTTTGCCAGGTACTGTGGAATTAATACTTTGATAGGTGCATGCTCAGTGTCTTTCTTCATGTTGATTGTTTTGCGGTCCATTGTCGGCCATTTGATATCAATTTTTGTTACATTTTTGGTAGACCGAAGATAGTTACAGCATTAGAAGAGTTTAAGCTTTCTGTTTATGGAGAAAACTACAATGAGGAGAATGATACGATGGACACCGGAAAAACAAGTGAAGCTTCCAGAAAAAGGAAATTGATTGCTGATCATGCTTCCAAGGAATATGCTAATTACAACTGGTCTGATCTTGCAGACAGTGGACAGGTAATGCTATAACCTTTGCTAGTATGTCCATAGTTTGCTCTGTGCATGAAAATTTATAAATTGGAATCCGGCATTGAGTCAAAATGCTGATTAAAAATGGGTTCCTCTGAGCCAACTTGTGTTTGGGTTTTTAAATCAGCACAATAACCCGAAAGTAGTTCTAAATTGTTGGAACAAACTCAACGAACTTGTCATTATGAAGGTAAAATTGCTCATTTAACTCCCCTGTGATTTCGAAATTCAGCGTAAAATCTCATATACTTTAAAAATTGCATAGCACCCCCTAATAGAACTTTGAATGAAACTCCACCACAATGAAACCTTCCTTATGAGATGAAAAAATGATTTCCTATCAATATATTTTGCATAACGAAGGGTTTCATGCAATATTTTTTAAAGTGTAAGAGGTCACTATACAATTTTTTAAAGTAAAGTGAGGATTTACCTGAGTTTCAAAACCGCATAGGGGTTTCATGCAATATTTTTTTAAAGTAAAAGTGGAGATGCCATCTAATTTTTAAAATGAAGGGAGATTTACGCTGAGTTCGAAGTCGCAAGGGATTTATATGCAATTTTGCCAATTATGAATTAGAAACATTCATGTTCAAATGGATTCTTCACTGTACTAAAGGGTTGCATTTTCTTTTCTTGGGTTGACATTAGTAAGTGTGTTTGATTGGTAATGTTGCAGTTGAAGGATCTGACGGTGGCAGAGCTGAAGTACTATTTGAATGTTGAGAAGCTGCCAGTTACCGGGAAAAAGGAAGCTCTCGTCACCCGGATCTTAACCCACATGGGCAAATGATGTATTTATCTATTTATTTAGGCATACGTCTTGCTTCTGTATTTGTATTTATGGAGTACAATATACATACAATACGTCTCCCCATCCCCATCCGCTTTGCATATTTTCTTTCGGGTTTCTCACACTAACTAATACCTAATCCTGCTTACATATTTTGCCTAGTGTACATATTTTGGGATTTCCAATGCCATTTCACGAAAAGATGCTTTTGGAATTTTTATAGGCTAGAAATTGCAAAAAGTATTTTATAGGTATATCTATTATTATTTTTGTTCTATATTTATTTAATTGGTAAAATATATTTCATATGTTTACAAAATTCGCTATTTATATTATTTGTCCGCACGTGACATTCACACCACGCGCAGCCAAATGATAGAAATAACGATTTTTGCAAATATGTGATATATTTTGCTAATGAAATAAATACATGACAAAAGTGATAATAAAGTGTACGTGTTCGAGATATTTTTTGCAATTTTCCCTCTATCCGTCCATCGTACTTATGCTATTTACTTTTAAATTTACAAAAAAAAAAAATTAGCATAATTAGCGGATAAAAGTAAATATCAGATGGAATGAGGAAGTATTATTTATCCAAAAGTAATTTTAAAGAAATAAAGATTACATAAAATATATATATATATACATATATCCGTTAGTTTCAATTCTATAATTCTGTTTTATCATTTGTTTCTATCAAAATAGTAGTTTTATATTTATAAATAATTATATCATCAAAAAATAATTATATATATTTTAGCATATATGCTGCATTATAATATAATATATATTATAAATATACTGAAATACTGCTGACTTATCGAATCGAATTTATGCGACTTATCGAATCGGATTTGTGCCCATGAAAGTATAATTAAGAAAGTGCTAATCAGCACATGAAAATATAAAAACTATCACATAGAAGTAAAACATATAGTCCATGTATAAATTATTATTTGAATTATTGTGTTATATATATATATTTGTATTATATTAACATATACTTTGTACTATTGATTTATATTTCACACGGTACCGTAGCTAATTATTACTATCAGTTTATATTTCACACGCTGCAATAGCTAATTATCGTTAGCACAAGAACAACCAAGTAGCATTGTTAGGCAATGCAACTCAGCACAACTCTTAATATATGCAGCGGCAGATGATATAATATAATACTATAACATAATTTCTACTTCTTCATCTTCTACATAGGTGGATGAGTAAAAATCATACCAATGATTACAGATATATATATATATATAATTATAATATATATATATAATTATATATAATTGGGTAATGTGTAGTGTAGACACAACTGACTGACAAACTGCACTTATGTACAGATAAAACAACCTCCTTCATAGTACGACAGCAGAAAAGGGAGGAAGAGGGAGTCAAGAACAACAACAATGCTCTTTCTCTCTCTCTCTCTCTCTCTCTCACTAAAAATTTAGGTATTAAGACATTATCATCACCTGAGTGTATTGGAGTCCCTCTGCTCTGCTCTACTCTACTTGGGCTCTGAGGCACCTCCGTTCATCCTAGCACGCGCCTCCGCAAACATTCTCTGTTGCTCTGCTAATGCCTCTTCTTCCGTCATCTCTGCTCCGTTGCTCCATTTACCACTTCTCATGGTGTCCTTTGTCAAACTGCTTGTCAGAGAGAGAGAGATAGAGAGAGAGAGAGAGAGAGAGACAGACAGAAACAGAGAGAGCTGCATACCATAGTCTCAAGCCTGTGCTGCTCATACGCCGCACAGACTTCATCAGTATACTCCGCAAATCCAAGAACCTAACACATAATTAGCGATAAGAGATTTTCAGTATGACAGATGTTTCAATAACACTACAACATATCAAGGACTATATTCAATTGAAACTTAAAGCCCTACAAGGATAAAAACGGTGGATGAGATAAACAGCTGAGACACTCAAGTAACCTTAACCCGATCCTCTCTCCATCTCAGGTTTTTACTTAATTTAAAAAGCGAAACCATCCACCATATGAATACGATAAATGATAAAAACATCAAAAACAACTCGCTCACTCAATAAATCTTCACCATCTCAACGGATATTTAGAATATGAATCACAAAATGAGGTCATAAGAAAAATCTGTTGTTAATGATAACAGATTGAAGCTTATGAAAATTTCACAGACCTGCAAGTATGGGGCAAATACTTCAATAATCAATCACTTGGCGGCAGTCTTCAACATCGTTAAATCAAATTATTTCAGCTTTAAAACTTAAATGATTAATACAGACAGACCACAGGCATAATGGTTTGTGGGTGTATAAACACCAATGAAGAGCTACAGTAACTAATTTGGATAAGAAGATATAAATAAAACGAAATTCACAGTCAGCCCTGTCGTCCAAAAAAGCATCAAAGCAGAAAAAGTAACGTGGCAGTTATTTGAGTTCATCTTGGGCTCACCATTCATCCTGTAAAACAACATATTGGGACTGAAGATTCAAATGTGGCTGAAATCCTTGCTATCTCAGAAGTACTCGAATGTACTTTGGTACAACTAGGTGCTTTCCCACAAATTGTTGAGCATGACTCAAAAAATGTACTTGGTTGGTTGGATGGATTCACAGTGCTGCAATCCCTTGGAGATTGAACTTAAGTATAAACAACCTCTACTACATTTCTACAGCCCCTTCATCTCTTTACGATACATCTCTCGTAATATTAATGAAAAGGCATATTTCTTTGTAAATTGTTTAGAAATAGGACTTGCAACTATTCAATTGGCTTTAACAATTTATGTGACACCCCGACCCGCAAGCCACGGAAAGCCGGGCGTGTCGAGATTATAGACCGGCCCCACAGGTCCACACAAGTCCTTTCAGCGCGCTTATGTCCTCACTCTCGCGCACCTTGAGAGACTTTCCAGAAAGTTACCCATCCTTAAATTACTCTAGAGCAAACACTAGTTCTTCAAGTAGGACTTTCGAAAATAAATGTACACATTGTTGACATGAGTAGTCTATTCAATCCATTTAACCTCTAATCAACTTCGGATGATCTAATACCAGCTCATCCATACACGGGAGTTGGCCAAGCAACGACCCAACTCCGGGGTATCACAATCTATCTCGCAGTCTTGTTTTTCCATTTCTCCATACTATTAGCCCCTATTTCCAGCTCTCATTCCATATCATCCATGTAATTCTATCTAAAGGGGCTCCTAAATTCCTTGGATGGTAATCCACCTATCTTATTTTATACTTGACGCTTCTTTCCAAAATAATAATAGCAATCCAGTTAACTATGTTTAAGTTACATATAATATGATAAATCATAACAAAATTAGCATTATAATTAAACACCTCTAAGGCCTTGATTACATGCTCTGGTGCAATTGTTCTTTTCTCTTCTTTGTTACAAACTTCGTTGGATTCTGAAGAAACAAGATTAATAAATTCTGCAAAACAAGGAAAACTTGCAAATTAACCTGTTATTGAAATGGAAGTTCATGCTAATAAATTTACATGATATTACAGTTATATGGATGGGTGCAGCAATTAGAAGGTTCAGTTTTATCTAACAACTAATTATAAATGCTAATATCTGCTCACGGACAGGAAAATAACTTCTCATATATATTGGAAAAAAAAAAGAAGAAGAAAGGAAGAAACTTCTGTGATCTATGCCATTTGAACAGTGTACTAAATCTGAAAAAAGCAAGGAAAATATCAAAGACTGGCTCTTATTTGGTTCTGTTTTTCTTGGGTGGGAACATGGTCAGTCCTATAGGCATTCACAAAGCTAATAACTGTTTTAAGTCATTTCTACTTGCTGTCACCACCTCAAGCATCAAGAAATTGCTACGTCGAGCTATTATTAAAAAATAATAATAGTAAAAATAAAAATCTTTTAATTAATAGGCATACAGATTTTTAAATAAATATGCAATCTTCAGGTAGAATAATTACTTTCTTTAGTTAAAAGACACTCATTGGTTGCTAAAAATGGATTAGGGTGTGTTTGTTTTGTGAAATAATTTGAATGAAAATTTTTTTTTCTATGAGGTATAGAAAATTGTATAGCTAATATAAAAATAATAAATGTGTGTAATGTATTAATTTTTTTGAAAAAATGTGTAAGAGAAAAAACAAAAGAAACACACCCTTAGTCTCTTTAACCAGAAAGCATGGTTCATGATGATTTTAGTTCCACACAAGCATATCAAGAATATCAATGTAAATAATATCAAATTATTAATTACCAGATTATGAGAATAAGAAATATCAAGCATAAACACCTAAATAATAAATAAAACACCAAAAGGAACCCATAGTGAATAATTCCAAGAAACAGTATAATGTATAACAAGACAAGTACAACATTCAAGACAGTTGTTGGTATGTGCATCATGGAAGGCATAAAGCTCATTACTAACCTAAACAAAAAAAAAAGGGGGCTCTCTACTAATCTTCCGTGATGGTGTATTTCTTTATTAAGGCCAAATAATTTTACTCATCTTGAGTGCCTGTTGGCTAGATGCATGGCACACCATTGTTCATACAACTTATAGACTTGTGCTGCTTTTTCTTTTTTAAGGTATTGTGATTAAATGCGATATTTTGAATGGAAAATGGATGTTGAATATAGTGTTTTTGGAGGGAAGTTTAGAGGTTGAATAGCATAAAAAACAAACTGGTTAAAAAAACACAAGAAACCCTTGGTTCTGTTTATTCTGAGTGTTCTTTCAAATTCATTACTATGCAACTTCATGGTTTCTAAATCCTAACGAAGAAAAAAAAAAATACCAATTTTCTATACAAAACATCAAAAACCATTTCACGCAAAAACACAAATCACAAGACCAAAATCAAACACAAAGTAAAAACACACCATTAATCTTTAGTCACTTTTCTGGTTTTTCCAATATATATATATATATATATATTTGTATTTATGCTCTCTTCCAAATGTAACTATAATTATCATTTTCTACCTTTTTTTTTGAAAAAAATTCTAGATAACATTTTCAATGATAGAGAGATGTTAAATCATAATCACCAAGATACTATAAAAAAGATATTATTTTATTTGTTAACATATCCCCATGTAAATTTTACCTGTAGTAAAGAATTTGATATATCAACAATTTTAAGTGCAGAAAGCACAGAACCACACTGTGGCTAAAGAATCTTTGAAGTATTATGTGTCATGCACCATAAACAACTATGATTCAATCCATCAACTAAAATGAAATGAGGCAAACAAGTAAAATACTACTCCCTTCATTTCATTTTAATTGACACGTTTTTTTTTTTTTTTTTTTTTTTTTTTTTTTTTTTTGTCTATTCCATATTAACTGACATTTTTCTATATTTAATAAATTTATCAATATTAAACATACTTAAAAAATTTAAATTAACTTACTTAAATTTCTAGCACCTTAAATGTAGGATCCACACAAAACTCTTTCTCTTTTTTCCTCAATCAACTTAATTAAATTTCTAACATGTTACACATAAGATTCACTCAAAATCCTTTATTTATTTCTCTCTTCTTAATAAATAAATATTTTTAATTACATATAAAATTTTCTTATATTTAAAAAAAAAAATAGTTTATATTAATTATAAATAAATAAAATTTTCCATTTAATTGTATTATATAACATTTTATTACCTTATAAATGGTATCCATATTTTATAGGCTTTACATAAATATACGGTTTAAAATATTTAAAATACTTATTCTAAATATTTTAATTATATATATTAATTTTTATTTTAAAAATATCAACAACACTATTCACAAAAATTAAATAAGCTAATGTCATAAATCACTATCATTAATTCATTAAACCTCATTATCTTAAATATACCGTGCCACAAAAAAAAGTCTCAATTAAAATGGGACGGAGGGAGTATTATTTAGTTGACTCGTTTATATTTTTTTTTATGATAACATAGGAACCCGCAGCCGCTACCCAAAAGTGCGCACTAGGTAAACTCCCGATCGAACCTAATACTTTGTAAACTAAGCCTGACAAGACAAGTCATACTAGGCGAACCATGTGTGGCAGGTAAACCTGGAGGCGTCGGGATTTAAACCTATGACCTCACAGTCACAAGTTCACTCCCACAGCACCAGACCATCCTTGCGGGACGACTCGTTTACATTTTTAATCAAACAAAAAGTAGTATATATAATGACTTCATGATATAATATCATATAATATAACAATTAATGGAGATAAACAAGATAATACGAACCTACACAACATTTAATTAACAAATCTTGTGTGTCCCTTGCAACACGAACATCTGGAGGGAGCATCTCCTTAATAATTTTTGTCATAGTTGCTGCAAGAGAATAACTGTCAATTAGAACTTATGATAATAACTTGCCATTCAACATAACAACCGATTGGATATTTCTTTTAAATTTGAATTTAGCATTTGAATATCTTGTTGGAACTAATATGATAATTTGAAGAACCAAACATCATCTAATACAAATACAGAAAAAAGAGAAATAATTTAATTTATTATCGTTAAAATATAGTTAGAAGCAATATATTATATTTATGGTAGTTATCTTATTTAAGATATTCGTGGGATTCTTGTCTTATTTAGACGATTTGTATATCACTATAAATATGTACGTATTCTTATGATTAAAATAGAGAATTTTAGTTTCATATTCTAACATGGTATCAGAGCCAAATTCTCTCCGGGTACCTCCATAACCCGTTTTATCCCGTATATATTTTTATATTTTATTAATGTATTTGCTTCTATCCACGATCATGCTGTTATTTTCATGTCGTCTCCGCCTCTACTACTCCACTTACAGAGTCTACTTTCGACTCTAACGCCGTTGAGAGTCCTGTTTTCGACTCTAACTCTATTGAGAGCGAGAGAGTCCTGTTTCCGATCTAGTTCCGTTGTTAACGAGCGAGTCCTATTTCCAACTCTAACAGTGTTGAGAGTTCTGCTTCTGACTCTGATCCAGTGGACGGCTACACCACTTTCCGTCAATCTTGGCAAAGTCAAATTCGTACGTGGAAGATCTCGGCTATATCTTTTTCGGCAACTTCTGACAAACTCAAGTTTGCTCCATCATATCTTGAGTTTGAGGAGGGGTGTTAAAATATATTTAAAAACAATATATTATATTTATGGTAGTTATCTTACTTAAGATATTTGTGGAATTCTTGTCTTATTTAGACAATTTGTATATCACTATAAATATGTATGTATTCTTATGATTGAAATAGAAAATTTCAGTTTCATATTCTAACAATTATGATAGTTTTTAAAATTCAAGTGATGTCAAGTAATATATCATTTCTAAGATTGATGTGGTGTTTCTTTATTTTTCCCCTTGATTATGTATAGATTACTTGCAGGGATTTAGAAAATATGTATCAAGAATATTTAGATTTGTAGCTGAGTGCCAAGTTATATTTATTCATTGTAATTTAAATGTAAATTATTATGGAGAACTTTAATGGTAGGAGTATTCATAAAGCTGTTTTAAAGTAAAATATACACAAACTTAAATCATTCAATACGTTTTCAGGAATAAAAAAGGTAGGAAAAATGAAAATAGATAATAGTAATAACAAATTAACCATATTCTAAATTCTATTACATAATAAATACAAAAATATAAGGGAAGCATAAACGTTTATTATTAGTTGTAATTAATCATTTTACTTATCAACGCCCCAACTGTATACATTTTTCATGATATAACATGCGGGTGTTAATAATCTTGGTCGAATTTCAAAAGCAATACTGGATCATTTATAACCACAAATCTCAGCAAAAAAATATGAATTTGACATATATGAAAACTCACCATCATTTCTAATGTTATACATGTAATACCCCGTAAAATAATCGCCGGTAAAAATTGAATTTGGGCCAAGTAAGGTAAAATAAATAATAAAGACCCAAGTCTTTTATATTTAATAAAGTATAAAATAAAATAACATAAAAAAAAGAAAAGAAAAAACAGCCAGCATACACGCCGCCAACCCCCCTCTTCTTCCTTTTGGTCTCTTCTCGTAAGGTAAGTGGAATTAATCTTAGATAGATGATATGTTCTAATCGTTAGACCCCATCTATTGATATTTTTAAATTATTTTCAAATGGGTTTGCCCTAAAAGTGTTAGGTTTTGCCAATTTCTTCTGGGCTTATGTGAAGATTATTATAATATTTTAAATTAAAAATCGTAAAATTTGTGGAATGAGTTTGAAAACCCTAGTTTTGCCTTAACCTAGTTATGGTTTTTTTTTAAAAAAGATTTATGCCTATTGGGATGGACATTTTTTTCAATGTTTATTTGGAAAAATAAGGTGAGATTATAACGAACTTGTTTGGTTTTAATATTCCACTTTTTGGTTGGTTAAATGTCGGCAATTGAAATGTTTTGAGTTTAAAGATTTCTCTTTCTGAAATTTGCTAATAGCATGTTAGTATTTGGTCAAATTGGTAATTGAAACTACCTGTCAAGCCCGATCAACTCGTCGATCGTTTGGATGATAAGACATAGCCTTCCACCTCTGTGCCTTGCAAACACATAAGGGTATACCAATATTTCAGGATAACTAGCTAACCACGAACTAGAAACCGAATGGGCTAGGTCGAGATGGCGAGTTCCCTTTTTGGGTGATTCCGAGGTGCCCGTCATTCACGATAAAAAAGGTCTTTGGACCGTCATCCGTGATAGAGAGATGAATTGCGTACAATATCCTCTTGGTATATTATATTGGAGACTAGAGGGTTGTGGGCCGTTTGGCACCCCTCGCAAACTAATAATAAACTGATTTACGTGTACTTTGGGTTTTGAATCTTTATGTATACATTGTGTAGCTTTCCTTGAGGGTTGTGACCATATGCTTATTATGTGTAACTATGTGACGTGTCATACGAAGTAATAAGATTGGAAAACCGGATCGAGTCAGCCCCGATTAAGGCCTAATGAAGTTTTCTTCGTGATGAGCACATCACTATTATTTGAGAATGAAAAGAAAATATAAAGGAGGCGCTAAAAGACTCGTATGTGTGAGTTATTCTTATGTGATATGTGACATTTTATTCAAATTATCTTTTTCAAATGATTTTTGTGGCATTATACCGTATTAATTTATCTTCAATTAATTGCGCTTACTCAACCGTCGTGTTGACCCTCTTTCTACAAACTTCTTGTAGGTGATGTTGCTTCTGTTATACCTAAATGATGCATTCATGTCATATGATCAATCGGGGGAACTAGAACTACTCTATCTTCTAGAATGCGTTTGAAATTCATTAATTATGTTTAAGAACTAATGTCTTTTGAACTATTTCCAACTTATGCTTTTGACTCGAACCTTATTTATTTAAATGATAAGCCGGTGCACTTTAATTCTAAATCTCTAAGTAGTTGTTTTGTAATAGTTATTTTAGCCTTAGCGCCACAACGTAGGACTCGTTGGTTGATGAACGAGCCTTCCGATATGGCGTAGCGGTGACACTCCAGGTTGAGCCGGCCAGGGTGTTACAATACATACAGATATATTATTATTACCAATTCCTTCTGCCCTATTGGATTGAACTAAACAATTATAAAGGAAATAGCACAAAAAGTTAAAATGAAGTGAAAATTTGAAATATCATGTTAGATATATATATATAATGTATAATAAAATAGCTAATGAACATTTATATAAAGGTTTAAAATTTCAGAGAAGTTCGAAAGAGCACAGCCAAATAAAAAAATGAAATCAAACTTTAAAAAAGAAATGCCCAATAATGGGGATGGCACAAAAAGTATCAAATATCTACACAAAAAAAAAAAAAAGATATCAACTATAAAGTTTGACACTGTAACACCCCGGCCGGCTCAAACCGGAACGTCACCGCCACGCCACACCGGAAGACTCGTTCATTAACCAACGAGTCCTACGTTGTAGCGCTAAGGCTTAAATAATAAATACCAACAACTCATAGGGACTTAGAATTAAAACGCACCGGTTTATCATTTAAATAAATAAAGTTCGAATAAAAAACATAAATTGGAAATAGTTCAAAAGGCATTAGTTCAAAACATAAATTGGAAATAGCACAATCAATGAATTTCAAAACATTTTAGAAGGTAAGGTAGTTCTAATTCCCCCGATGGATCATATGACGTAAATGCATCACTTAGGCATAACGGAAGCATGATCACATACAAAAAGGATCGTAAGAAGAGGATCAACACAACGGTTGAGTAAGCGCAATTAATCGAAGATAAATTAATACGGTATAATGCCACAAAATCATTTGAAAAAGATAGTCGAATAAAATGACACGTATCAAATAAGGGGAACTCACACACACGAGTCTTTTAGCGCCTCCCTTATACCTCATTTTCATTCTCAAATAATAGCGATGAGCACATCACGAAGAAAACTCCACTAGGCCTTAATCAGGCCGGCTCGACCCGGTTTTCCAACCTTATTACTTCGTATGACACGTCACATAATTTCACATAACAAACATAGGGTCATAACCCTCAAAGGAAACTCCACAATGTGTACATAAGGGTTCGAAATTCAAAGTACACGTAAATCAATTTATTATTAGTTTGCGAGGGGCGTCATACGGCCCACAACCCTCTAGTCTCCAATATAACATACCAAGAGGGGATTGTACGCAATCCATCCCTCCATCACGAATGACAGTCTAAAGACCTTTCCATCGTGAATGACGGGCACCTCGGAATCACCCTAATAGGGAACCTGCCATCTCGATCCCTCGACCTAGCCCATTCGGGATCTAGTTCAAGGTTAGCTAGTTATCCTAAAATACCGGTATACCCTCACGTGTTTGCAAGACACAGAGGTGGAAGCCTATGCCTTATCATCCAAACAATCGACGAGTTGATTGGACTCGACGGGTAGTTTTAATTACCAATTTGACCAAATACTCAACATGCTCTTAGGCAAATTTCAAAAAGAATGTTCTAAACTCAAAATATTCCAATTGTCAACATTTAACCATGCAAAGTAGGATATTAGACCCAACAAGTTCGTTATGATCTCACTTTATTTTGCCAAATAAACATTCGAAAAATATTTCAATCACAATGGGCATGGTCTAATTCCAAAAATCAAAATATTTAAATATAATCGTAAATCTTTTTTCAAAAACCATAACTAGGTTAGGGGAAAACGAGGGTTTCAAACCCATCCCATAAATTCCACGATTTTCAATTTAGAATCCAATAATAATCTTCCCATAAACATTATAATCAAAGAAATTGGCAAAACCTAACACTTTTAGGGCAAACCCATTTGACAAGAATATTGAAAAAGATATCAATAGAAGGGTCTAAGGATTAGAACATATCAATCTATCTAAGATTAATCCCACTTACCTTAAGAGAAGAGACCAAAAGGAATTTTGGAGAAGAAGAATCCCCAAGGAAGAAAGAGGGCTGGCGGCGGCGGCGTGCATGATGGATGCTACTGCTGTTCCTTTTCTTTTTTATTTTTTATTTTTTATTTAACATAAAATACTTAGCCCTTTATTAATTATTTTATTCTACTTTGGCCCAAACTCAATTTTTACTTCTAATTTAAACCCAACTCTTTAATTTATTACACTAAAAGACCAAAATATATTATGCCCAAAATGAAATTTGTCCGACTCCGGCAAACTTCCGACGATTATTTTACGGGGTATTACAGACATAAATCATTTCAGATAAAATTCCAAATATGTGAATCATGAGAATATTAAAACATTGACATGAAAAAAAAAAAAAAAAAAAAAACAAAGAAACAAACCTTTAGGAAGAGAAGCATCCTCTTTTGTTCTACCAACAATGTCCATCGGCTCCATTCTAACCTTCAAAATACTCAATGCAAAACATATAAATAATCACAAACCTTTGTAAGATAGATATATTTAAAAAGAAAACAGAAGTATTAAATTTTGGTAATCATTATGTGATAGCCAAATGTTGAGAAAAGATTATATTATTTAATTAAGCTGGTTAAAATAAGCTGATTTACATTTAGAGTTGGAATTGATTTAGGCTAATTAGCATAGACATAACGAAGAGATGTTCATGACAGATGACCAAGGCAGAAAATCCAACTGAAGTGAGTTCAAAAAACAAGAGAAAAAGGAAGAAGATATTAAAAGGACATCCTGTCACAGAGATAACAATTAAATTACAAACATCAAAACCATACATCAAGCTAAACTAATAATTTTTCACACGTACAATAATTATTACAGAACACTCTGATGTGGAGGTAGGGACAATGCATGGTTAATTTTACATACGCAAGCGTGACAATGAGGATCTGAATATTGTATATCCGCTTCAATAGAATGTTAAGTGAATTAAAGTTTTTCATGAGAAGTGGTTGCTTAACATTAGTAAAGAACCACTAAATCAACTTTATAGTGGTAATCTAAGACATAATTTTTGTTTTAAGCCAACACTCAGCAGAAAAATTTGAAAAATCCTCCCAGTTACCACTTAGCCTAATAAGTGTACTTAAAATGCATAGCACTCCGACTATGAAACACTTGGATTTACTAGTTGAACAATGATAACCTCTCAATCAACCATATGAATCTAACAGGAAAATATAAATTTTACTGGATTAGTATCCCTCTTTTAAGCTCCTTATCAACTGTTTGTCCCACTGTTGTCATGGCGTCCCGGCGCTTTTCGGGGAGCGCCGGGTCTCTTCGCCTCGCCATATTAAAAAAAACGGCTTAGGTCAGCCTTAGCAACGCAGTGGCAATGCCTTAACAACGCCATGGCAATTCCATGGCATTTGGCAGGCTAGTCCAGAGCTTTGAACCCGATTGAATCTAACTTGTCATCATCTCTCTCCCCCGCTCTCCTCTAGTCTCTCTCCTTTTCTAGCCACGGTAGTCCATTGTCTACAACCACTTCATCCTATGGCGCACAATAGCTCTCCTTCACTCTCTCTTGTTATATGCTTAGGGTTATTTTTATTTTATTAATATTGTTAGTATTTTGTGCATTACATGATTATCTATTATTTATTTTTATGGTTATTTATTAGGTAAACTGATTTTTTAGCCTTTAACCGGACTCTTTTATCATTTGAGTTTCATAATTGGAGTCTATTGCAAAGTAGTCTCGTAAGTGAAATTTTTTCGCAATTTTAGTACTCCGGCGCTGAAAATGCCTACGTGGCACTCGCATGATTCTCCGGAGGACACGTGTCCATCAGGTAAGCGACACCTGGAGGACATGTGGATCTTATTTAATTATTTTTATTTTTTAGTTTATTTATTGTCTTTTCTGTAAAAATTAGAGATTTTCAAAAAAATAAATAAAATTTTTAAAATAAATAAAAATCTACGTGTCCGCCATGTGTCGCTGACTTGGTGGACCTGGTGGATACGTATACTCCAACGAGCCACACGAGTGCCATATAGGCATCTCCGGCGCCGGATAACTAAATTGCGAAAAATTTTCACTTACGGGACTAATTTGCAACAACCTCCATCCGGTTACGGGACTAAAATGATAAAGGGATCCAGTTACATGACAAAAAAAATCAGTTTACCCTTATTTATTTTTAATTTTAGAATCATTTTTTTATTTTCTTTGTTAGTTATTTCGTATATTCCAAACTTGAAGTAAAAAGTGTCAGAGATCCCAAATCCCTAAAATACAGTACATAAAAAACTAAAAAATACACTAGAACTTGAGAAAATTAAAATGAGCGATCTCCAATAAAACTTTTCGTGAGATGATTGAAGATGCCATTTCCATCCCCCATCAGTTCATTTAAATAAACCCCACTCGAACTGTCCAAAACCGTCTCTGAGTTGATTACCGAAGGTCGTGCATTGAACCGTCGTCGGTTACCCTGTCCACATTAACATCGGTTGCCTTCAGGAACACGTGGTAAATCGTACCCACAACCGACCAACCAACAATTTTATCGGTTCCTTCACAACCATCCGACCCAGTAATCGAATCCGGAAGAGCCTTTTTACCTGATGTGCCAACCAAACGAATCCAATGGTCTGTTAAGTTCTATAAGTCGAACCTACCAACATTCACACATGGCCCACCACTAGGCCCACACCCTTTCCTTCTCTTGGGCCAAAATCCTAATTTAAATATTTAGTGCTCAACAACTTGCTCTCTCCACGTCTGACTTTCAAACATCATACCTTGGTCTTCGGGACGTTTGGAAGTCTGAAACTCAAAGCAACAATGTCATCATTACGCCGTTCCGAGTCCAATTACAGGGTTTTACAAAAACTCTTTCCCTCACAACAATTCACTTTATCATTGTTGAACTAAGTCCTTCGTCTTCCTCAACTTCTCTTTTGCCATTCATCAAATTCAGTCCTTTGTTTTCCTCATCACAAATCACTGCACTTTTATCTTCATGGTCAACCAATATGTTCCTACCTTCCCTTTCGATGGCTCCGATCCGAAAATCCCTTTTTGTTTCATCTAGAGTGCTAACTTCCACCATTCATTTTTACTGTACAACCACCAAAGATGCGTCCCGAATGAGGGATATCCTTGAACAAGAAACCCCTTTGCCATCAAGAATGTTGCTTTCAACCCCTCTTGCCTTTTAGACACCATAAACACTCAGCTCAACGACCCCAAAGATAGCTTTCGCACTTGGCATTCCAGACTACTACTCCACTTTCAAGAGCAATGGAAACGCCAGGGAATTGACAAGGCCATTCTTCTTTCCACCAAAGTACTTCATCTCTATGATAAGGTTTTGTTAGCTGTGGGCACTTTCTGGAATCAAGAAATCGGCATCTTTCTCTTGCCTGCTGGCCTTATGGGTCCAACACTGATGGATGTGGCCATAATAGCCCATCTCCCCATTGTGGGCGAAGACCCGGCGGTGGGTCCCTCAACGGCCAAAAATCCACATCCGACCATGCTGGCTGGTCGTGTCCAACCTGCAAGACAAAAAGTGGACCAACTTTATAACCGACTTCCAAGAAGAATCAGGCACCCTTGTGACCGACCGCAAACATACTGCCTTCATACTATTTTGGCTTTGTAGGTATGTCATTCTCTCTTCTTCTAAGTGCATTCTTCCCTCTCACTTGGATTTAGCTATCCAGATCGTTTCTGGTCGGTTTTCTCGATCGGAACCCTCTTTTTTGCCAACCTTTTAGAAGGTCTATCCCGAGTCAGCAACCGTCTTTTTAATGTTACAAATTAGATACGACTGCCTCCGGCCCTTTTTGGTTTCTTTCGACCCAATTATCTAGCAAATTACTTCCGACAGCCGTAGCAACTTTCGCTTTTATGTTTATGAAAGTTTGATGCAATATGCTACCGAACTCTTCTGGTCCTACCCAGACATTGATTATCTTTTACCATACCCGAATCCATTACCTTATCCAACCTATCTTTTTTTCCTAGGATCCTGCCTTGAACCAAGATCCCTTTTTCCTTAGCAAAAGAATGGACATAAAGAACAATAAGTTCTTCTATGCCTTTAACTACCAACCTCAATATTTGGAGCGCCAGTTCGGTTGTTGCTAAGGCCTTCCTGGTCCGCTGGCCCGACCTCATCTGATAACCCAAAGCCCGAACAGCCTTGTTATCCCCGAACTCATCCAACTATTTTTGACTCAGTTTTCTGCCTATATCACTTCTAACTAGTACCTCCCTTTCAAAACCCAACCTCAAACTGTCGAACTCTTCAGAGAATAGTGGTCAACCACATAGGCTTTGTTTGTCCCGTCATCCTACCAAATGTTAACGACCCTGACACCAACACCGGCGCTGGTCTTATCTCGCCTGTTCCAGCACCGCAAAAGAGACGGGTGGCTGCAGCAGATGACGGCCCCAACAAACCCAAAAAAAAAAAAAAGACGAAAACAACCACCCAAACCAAACCATACGAACCAGCGGATCGTGGGGCAGTGAAGGATTACTTGGTCTCTCTGCCCATTGATACAACATTGGATGCCTCCCCATATCCGAAGTGGCTTCAGTAAGTCCCAGTTTCGTACGTTTATAAAATTATGCTTATTTTTTTCTAACAAGCCATCTTTGCAGTTGGTCCGTCTCTGCCTCCTCCCCCGACTCCTGCACCAATTGCTCCCCCAATCGGAACAACCGTGAACCGACCATCTACTTATTAATCCTGAATCATCGGTACTTCACGCTTTTTTTCACTATACCTTCAATAACTTAGACATCCCATTCTCACGATTCACCGGCACCGGAATTCTCTTCTATTTTTTCCCATGGAGAATCGCCAATGATCGGTCGGTCAGAGGAACCGACCTAGGAGAAAACTCCCCCACATTCGACGAATTCTGAAACCCCCAACATCACGCCGCCGAACCCAATAAGTACCACTTCGATCCTTAATTTCAAACCTCCGAATTTTATCGCATCGATCTGTTGGCCACTTCTTACAGACTCAAAACGCCCTTTATACCGTCCGACAAGATGCAACCGTCAATCCCTCCGAACGATATATTGAATCAACAATCGACAACCCACATCCCAGGGCCCGCCCTTCTGTTGTTGGTCCTCCGACTGCCGACCCTCCCCCCTCTCCGCGGTCGGCCCTACTGCGGCCGCCCGTCCTGGGATTTTAATCCAAGAACTATCTAAGAATTATCTTATTCCGAATCGAGGGAAGGGACCATCAATCAAAACCTGGGAGAAGTGGTGAGTTAACCTTTACTTTGTATTTCCAATTTCCACAAGTCTCACGAGCCTCAACTGTCCATGAACACAGGGTCTAAACCAGTTGCCGCTGACCCAAGCTGACTCCCATGAGGGAAGAAGTTCGGTGTCGGAGCTTAGGCGCTCTGGGGTCCACCCCCGTGGGTCCCCTAACGAGTTTCCCCAGTTCTGGCCATTTCCGAAGCGACGGCCGCCCAAGGTCAAGTAAACATTTTCGAAAAAATTCTACCTCTTAATCAATGTTTCTAACTTCATTTTCCATATTCAATTGGACAACAAAACCCCGATCTGTCCTTCATTTCTCAAGTACCGGTCCTATCAGCCGGCCGACCAATTGTGATTAACTGTGCCACACTATCTTTTGCTGACTTGAGGCTCGAAGACCTTCAAGCTTTGGCTCAAGTCACAATTGACTTGCTGATTCAGCATCCTGCTGTGTCAGCGGCTACTCCAGTTCTCCACCGACTGATTGAGCGGATTACCGAGCTTCAAGCCGACCTCCAAGTAATCCGAACTCCAGCAGCCGGCCCATCTCAACCTCCATCCATGGCGACTCGAACACAATTGAGGCAACCTTGTCCAAGACAAATGAGGACCTCAATTAGGCTGACGCGAGACTGAGCAGCCTCTTGCAAGCTCAAAACATCTTAACTGAAGACATCAACAAGAGGGAAAAAGAACTGGAGCGCCTCCAAAAATAGCTAGACAATCTGCAGAGAAAGCAAACTGCCCTGAACAGCTGCATCGAAGAGAAAAGATGTCTGATTGCTTACTATAGATAGAGCCGATTGAATCTGTAAAATGCATTGCAAGCATCCATTCGTTCGAAGCTCATTCATGAACATCAGATAGCCTACCAACAGCGACAGGCGGCTCGGTCCAAACAGAAATGGACCGACCTCCGTACCGTCCTTGATGCTTTGTTATCTCGCATGTAACTTTTGACTTAATTAATATAACATTTGTTTTGGCCCAACAAACATGTCTATCTTCACGGATAAAAAAAACATGATTTGCACGCTTAATCACCACAAAACCAAATCTAAACTCCAAACTTTTCACCCATAAATAAATCAAACCTGATCAAAGGTAATGTACCAAATTTTCCTCGATTTCCCCCCGCAAAATGGCTTCCCCACGCATTCACATTTCATCTAGCAATTGGGAAAATTCCCTACAACCTTTCTTCGTAGGGCAATACCCCGTTGGCGGCAATGTTGAAGACCTGATACAAGAATAACTGGATTTCAAATTCAAATTTTCGCCAAAAGGCAGAATAACAATGCATCGTGTAATTCGCCTAATGGAACATGTCTTCATTAGGTATGCGATATACTCAGTCCCATTCTTGACCTTAATCATCACATGTGTAATACCCCGGTCGGCTCAAACCAGAATGTCACTGCCACGCCACACCGGAAGACTCATTCATCAACCAACAAGCCCTACGTTGTGGCGTTAAGGCTAAACTAACCGTTACAAACAACTAATAGAGATTTAAAATTAAAACGCACCAGATTATCATTTAAATAAATAAAGTTCAAGTCAAAAGCATAAGTTGGAAATTAGCTCAAAAGGCTTAGTTCTTAAACATTAATAATGGATTTCAAAAGCATTCTAGAAGGTAAAGTAGTTATAATTCCCTCCGATGTATCATATGACGTTAATGTATCATTTCGGTATAATGGAAGCACCATCACCTACGAAAACTTGTAGAAAGAGGGTCAACATGACGGTTGAATAAGCGCAATTCCAAAGATATATTAATACGGTATAAGTTATGATTCACGAGTAAATGCCACAAAATCATTTGAAAAATATACTTTGAGTAAAATGTCACATATCAAATAAGGTTAACTCACACGCACAAGTCTTTTAGCGTTTCCCTTATATTTCCTTTTTATTCTCAAATAATGGTGATGAACACATCACGAAGAAAACTCCACTAGGCCTTAATTAGGGTCGGCTCGACCCAGTGTTCCAACCTTATTACTTCGTATGATACGTCACATTATTACACATAACAAACATAGGATTACAACCCTAAAAAAAAGCTCCACAATATGTACCTAAGGGTTCGAAACTCAAAGTACACCCAAGTCAATATATTTATTAGTTTGCGAAGGGCATCAAACGGCCCACAACCCTCTAATCTCCAATATAACATACCAAGAGAGGATTATACGCAATCCATCCTCCATCACGGATGACGGTCCAAAGACTTTTTTTATCATGAATGACGGGCACCTCGGAATCATCCAAAAAGGGAACCCGCCATCTCGATCCCTCGATCTAGTCTATTCGGGTTCTAGTTCGAGGTTAGCTAGTTATCCTAAAATACCGGTATACCCTCACGTGTTTGCAAGGCACAAAGATGGAAAGCTATGTGTAGTACCCCATAAAATAATCGCCGAAAATTTTCCGGAGCTTTCCGGAGTCCGACGCTGGAGCCGAACAATATTATTTGGGGTTTAAGTTGCTTGGGCTTTTGGTGTGAAAAATATTATAATTTGATTAAAATTAAGGTGTTAGGGTGATTGGACCAAAGTTGGGCACAAAAGGAATAAAAAAAATTAAATATGTATAAGCCAAAGTCTATTTTCTTTAAAAGAAAGAAATAGAGAAAAGGCAGACAATGTTCCAACCGCGTCCTTTTCTTCCTTGGAATTCTTCTTCTCCGAAACTTTCATTTTGGTCTCTTCTCTTAAGGTAAGTGGGATTAATTTTAGATAAATGATATGTTCTAATCCCTAGACTCCTTATGTTGATATTTTCCAAAATTATTTTCAAATGAGTTTGCCCTAAACGTATTAGGTTTTGCTAATTTCTTCTAGATAGATTATTATAATGTCCCCTAGGGCTTATGCGAAGATTATTATAGTATTTTAAGTTGACAGTTGTAGAATTTGTGGAATGGGTTTGAAATCCTAATTTCGCCCTAACATAGTTATGGTTTTTGGGAAAAGAATTATAATTATGTTTAAATATTACTCGCTCCGTCCGTCTCTAAGGGTCACATTTACCTTTTGCATTATTGTACTTAACATCATGGTTGTCACGGCGCCCTTTTGCGGCGCAGCGCTAGGGGACCGCCATACCGCCATGGCGACATGGCGCCCGCTATGGGGACAAAATGGCGAACGAGGCGTAATATGTATAAAATTAAATAGATATATATAATTATAAATAACATATGCCTTAAATCATAAAAAGAAACATAATACCATAAAAAATATAATTTCAATCATCAAACAAAACAAAATACTATCCATGAATCTCTAAGCCACCAATTTAATCATCTCAAATTTCAACAATCAAAGAGCTCAAGTCCACCACTACCACTAGGAATATCTTCCAAATCATCATCCTCAATGTCATCATCTAATGATACATCTTCATCGTCTAATTCTTGCTCCATCAATGCCGAAGTTGACGTTTTCTTACGACGTCTAGAGTATAATTGTATTGATGAACCCGATGTATCTCCGATATTTCCCCTTCTAGGAATATTGCGGCATTCAAGATTGGCCGATGCACCCATAGCTTCATCAACACGACTCTATGTAAGATCCTCTCCCGAATGAACTATATCATTGGTGTCAAGAACCCACTCATTATTCCATTCAAATTCCTCCAACACCAAAGAATTGAAGTTCTTTCCTTCATCGCGCCTCTTTTGAAATCTATTCGCAATTTTTCGATTGTATTGAACGAAAACTAAATCGTTCAATCTCTTATGCTTCAATCTATTTCGTTTTTTCGTGTGAATCTATAAAAAATAAATTATAATATATTAGTATATGACTACAGTAGCAATAATGCTTATTTATAAGTAATTAAATACTTACAAATTCAAATGAGCTCTAATTGCGTTCACACCCGGAGGACGAACAACAAAGACTAATTATACGGAAGGCAAATGATTGAAGCTCGAAATGAAGGCCTCCAAAAGCATTCCACCAATCAACTAAAATTGTAAAACATTAAAAAAATATGTTTAGTTCGATCTTTAAAGAAAAATGGAAAATAAATAAATAAAATAGAAATTATAAAAATTAAGCACTTACGAGGACTTTTTGCCTTTTGTTGCTTAATAGCCAATTGCTTTCCGAAGCTTCCCCACATATTATCATAATCATCGACTTGATCACAAATCTTTGTTTGCAATTCATCATCAATGACCATTTTTTCAAGAACATCATTAAACATAGCTCGTGCCTTACGAGCATAACTTCTTTCAACAAATTTGGCTTTTTTTCAAAATCTTCTTTGATTTTCTTTTAGCTTCATTCATCGCTACTGCAAGCTCCGACATTGCTGGCTTCTCATCCCAGTCAACGATCCTCAAAACAATTAGAAGTGGATGCGATGCTTTTATACAATACTCCACACCAGTCCAAAAAGGAGAAAACAATACCGTGTTTGCTACTAATCTTCCGGCATTTGTATTAGTCGATTTCGATGCAGTCCAATCTTCGCTAAAAAATAAGCTCCTCAAAGCATCCCTATGCTTATATAAGCTCTGCAAAGTCAAAAATGAAGTAGCAATTCGGGTAGGCCCAGGTCTCACAAGATTATTGCCGTCCGTCTTCTCCCGCATCGCATTAAGGAGCCTTACATGCTTATACATATAGGTAGTAACTCTTCTTGCATTGTCAATCTTTGCCCGGAAAACAGACAATTTCCCGATATCTTCCAACATAAGATCAAGGCAATGAGCTGCACAAGGAGTCCAATAAAAAGTGGGTATGCGCTGCTCCAATATTTTACCCACTGCCTTGAAATTGGCACCATTGTCCGTTACTATCTGAACCACGTATTCTTTTCCAATTTCTTCAATTTTCGCCAGAAGTAAATCCGTCAATAGTGATGCAACTTGCGCTTGACTTGATGCATCAATCGACTCAAAAAAAAATGTACCTTCTGGACTATTGACGAGGAAATTAATCAAATGCCGCCCTTTTTTATCCGTCCACCCGTCGGCCATAGGTGAACATCCGTATTGCTTCCAAGCAATAATATATTTTTCCTTCAATGTTTGCGTCCTTTTTACCGTTTTCTCCAAAAGAGGGAATCGTAATTCATGATAACTTGGACCTTCTACACCCGGTCCCATCTGCCCCGCTGACTCAAATCATTATCTCAAAACTTCGAGACTTTGCCACATTGAATGGTATGCCATTTTCGTAAAAAAAATCGGCAATATATCCATGAAATCTTTCGATCTCCTCCTTGCTCCTTGTACACGCTTCCAATGTTCTTTGACTTCCACTACTCGTTTTGCTATGTCTTTCCTCAATGACTTCCTCCCGGGTTTTTCTAAGCATTGAAGCAACCGACTTGCTTTTTTTTTCACCTTGTGACGGCATCGATGAAAAAATTAGAACAGATTGCGAACGCTTTCTCTTGTTCAAAGTACCCGAGCTAAGATAAGAAACTGAGTCGTGCGATACCCCTTGCTTTGCTCCTTGAACATTCACATCAACATCGTCGTCAATGTCGTCGTCGTCATCTAATTCAACACGACTACGACTAGGCTGCTTTCCTACTGTTTTTTTTTTAGGAATTCCCGCATCTCATTCCGGATTTCTTCGGTAGTTTTTTAATACTTCTCTACATCTCCAGAATTTCCAAGCATGTGTTGTTTCAATCGCTTTATTCCCGATCGTACTTGTTTATGGCAAAGGGAACATTCTACCAAATCTCTATTTCCCAAGTCCGGCCAAAAAGCATATTTCCAACCCGGATCATTTGACTTAGCTTTTCTTTTGGGATCTTTGGTTGGATCTATCGTTGACGCTTCACTTTCGGCCATAGCAAATTTAATCCTATAAATATTTATATATCAATATGTCAAAATAATACAAAATAAATAAAAAAATTGTTTTATACAATGAAATATTATAAAAAATATATTAAAAATATTATTAAAACAATAGCTAATAATAGTAATATAATATATATATAAAAAAACTAATAATAGAATAATAATAATATAAAAATAAATAAAAAATAAAGCATATCCACGATTAAGATTTCACTCACCCAGGAGCGCGGCTTCTGTTCGGCGACTGGTGTGACGCGGTGGACTGGAGCGGCTTCGGTTCGGCGGACTGGAGCGGAGGCAGACTGGAGCGGGAGGGAGATTCCAGAAGCGGCGCAACAAATCAAACAAGTTTTTAGAAGATACTTATATTCAGACCGTTCGGTTCAGGTAGGGCTTGATTTCGGGTAGAAATCAGTTAAGGGTAGGATTGGGTTAGGCTTGATTTCGGGTTTGGGCCACACGCCGCGACGTCGCCATGGCGTCGCCAAACCGCCGTACGTCACAAGGCGGGGCGGTGACGCCTGGCGCTCTCCGAAAAGCGCTAGAACGCCGTGGCGTCGCCATGGCGCCGTGACAACTATGCTTAACATTAAAAATATTCTTATATTTATATATTTGTTTTGTACAAATATCATTTTATTAGTATTATAAAACACTAATTGAAGTATTTTTGCAATTTTTTCTTAATTTATACTATATTTTGATATAATAATTAATATTCAAATATCAACACGCAAAAGGTAAATGGAACTTTTAGAGCCGGACGGAGGTAGTATGGTTTTTTGAGTTAGATTATGCCTATTGGGATAGACATATTATTCAAATATTTATTGGAATCGACGAGTTGATCGGACTCGACGGGTAGTTTTAATTAACAATTTGACTCAATACTCTACATACTATTAGGGCAAATTTTAAAAAGAGTTTTCAACTCAAAACATTCTAATTGCCAACATTTAACTAAGAAAGAAGTAGAGTATTAAAAATCTAACTGGTTTAATAAAATATCACTTTATTTCGCCAAATAAACATTTAGACAATATGACCATCCAAATAGGCATAATCTAACTCCAAAAATCTAATATTTAAGATAATCGCACATTATTTCCTCAAAATTCGTAAACTAGGTTAGGGAAAAATTAGGGTTTCTAACCCGTTTCACAAATCATTCACTTTCCTACTTAAATAACCGTAAATTTCCCTATAAACCCTAAACATCATCCTAGGGTATGTCTGTTTGGAGGTTTGGATTTTGGATTGAGATTTGAATAGTAAAAATTTGAATTTGAATAGTTGTATGATGTGAATATGTATTGATGTGATGTTTTAAATGTAAAATTAATTTTTAGTATAATATAACAAATGAAAAATAGGTGTTTGATTTTATGTTTTTGGAGGAAAAAATTTTGTGTGAATAGTAGAAATCACACAAATCCTTCAAACAAAAACACGCATAATAAACTTCCTAAGAGGAAGATGGGAAAATCCAAGGTTTCAGAACAAACCCATTTAAAAATAATTTCAAAGAAACCATCAAGAATCAACAAATAGGCTTAGAAACTATAACATATCATTTATCTAAGATTAATCCGACTTACCTTAAAAAAAAATCCAAGAGGAAGAGTTTTTAGGAAAAAAACCTCTAAGGAAGAAGAAGACCCTAGGTGGTTGGCGGCTGGAACACGCTGTCTGCCTTCTCCCTCTCCATGATGTACATGGAACATACCAACTTAACAGGCAAACCCTATTTCAGACCAAAAAAATATTTCCCAAAATTAACCACACTCGCAACCAATTCTCATTGTTCAGTTTCTTTTCATAATTGAAAAAGCATCAGGCACCAGCTTCTAGAATAAAGGACTAAACATCTAGCAAGTCCAGGAAAGTTATCAAGTTGAACAGAACTTCTGCAATGAGAAACCACTATATATAAGTATTGCTCTTAATTATCTTACACCCAAATGAAATTTGGATATGAACTACGTTATTTCCTCAGGTTGAATAACATGAAGAAACTGTTAAAAGAGTGGCTTGCTAGTCCATACCTCTGCATCAATGGCATGCATGCTCAACCACAAACATACTCTGACTTCAACCCAAAAACCACTACATTTATAAAACCCTTGCCCCAAGAGACCTCTGGCCAACACAAAAAGTCATAATCCCAGACGAATTAAGTGAAACAAGAACTTTGTGTGAGATGGGAGCACCGATCATGATAAGATGAAGAAGGAGCATTTGGGTCCATAATAGGGTAATGTGGGAGGGAAGATTACAGATGGAAAAGGACTGTCATGCAAAAGACAGCAAAGATATTAGCTAGGATATAGAAACGAAAGCACACCCCCAAGGCTTAGTCAGAGCTGATACAATATAATTGCTTCAAATTCATATCTACTATCCTACAGATATGTGACTCAAAAAGCAACAGAATTGAATTTCTTAATGGAAATGCAATGATTATGAAGATGAAGCTTTCTGAGTTTCACCTGCTCTCTTTAGTCATATAGAACATATTCAAAGACAACTTTTCACTAAAACAGAAATGGTGACCATCAAAGAGACACAATACACATAAATAATTACGATGATCCAAAGATCAAAGGCTTATTCAATGACCAAGGAGACCATCCAAGAAACATGGCTCACCACCCTCGTAGCAACTGTGCACCTGACCCAAATAAGTACCACATCAAATTCATATTGTAGCCAAAAGATGCTAACGATAAATAGTGAAATATGTTCAAAACTAACAGAGAGTAGTGGCCACCAGTCTCCATCCAATTAATACAAGATATAGTGTTATAAATAGCATTCTCAGATGTTAGCTGCCATATCTTAATCAATTTAAGATCTAAACCATTAATGCAAGTTATGTAACCTTATATCATGAACAGACAGGAGTATTACAGAGCGATGTATCTATTTATTTTAAGTTCAAACACCACCAGGAACCCAGCAGCAACACATGATGTCTACAGAAGTATAAGGGCGGGGGGAAATGCCCATCATTAGCAAAGCCAGAAAAATTACTCCAAGAATGAAGAGCTTATTGCATATGTACTATTCACGAAATATGAGTAATTGATTTGAGCTTCCTTACTATAGAACTCACCGTTCTCCCCAATGGAGTTGAAGTCCACAACCTATTTTAAGCCAACAAACCAATCTAGTTGGAATTGAAGCTTGCTCTTGGCTCCTATAAACATGCAATACTGAATTAATTTTATAATACGTTAATTATAAATTCTTTTCACTCAGAAAGAACAAAGTCAGAGCTTGTTATTTTTGGGGTAATAATTATTGTGTTTTCAGCATTTCTGTGCCAATTGGTGCAGAAAAGGCGACTTTACTATCCAATAGTACCAATATCTTGACAATCACACGAGATGCCTGTACGAAACTGAATTCGGTCTTGTGCGTAAGTACGCATTCCTCTAACATATCAAAACAATTTCATATCCCAAGGCACCAGTTTCCAAAATCTCACACTAATCCAAACACAATTCCTAAATTAACGAAAATGATACCAAACACATGGAATGATGTAGAACAAGAACTGTGCACATACGCCACGTACCAATTCATAAAATTACGCAAAAAACCTAGTAGAATTGACAACACAATGTTGGAACCCTAAGTGGCGATTACGTAAATCAATGAAAATTAAACATGAGGCTAAAAATTGCGTCACCTTGATAGAAACGGCGGCTTCCAATTGAAATCGAAGCAGGGGAGCGCCGTTGACAACGCCTGCAACTGTAGCTGCGCAGCGAGGGAGGGTTTCGAGGTGGAAACTTCGACGTCGTGCTGTGCTCGTCGGATGCGTAAAAACTGACATTTACAGTCTCTTTTGTTTCGCTGCCTTCCTTTTTTAAAAAGAAAAATATTATTAATCTCAATCCTAATTTTTTCATTTTTTATTTTACTATTTATTTTGTCACTTCTATATATTTTAATTTTATTTTAAATTTTAAATTTATAATATTTTTTTAATTACATTAATTAATTATTTTAATTTATAATTATACCACTTATAAATTTATGCGTGCAACGTCGGAGTACTATTATATATTGGTGGCCTTTTGGTTATTAGTCCAAAGTCAAGCCGTCAAGGGTTCTTTTATTTGTTTATTTTTTTATATGATTAATAATCATCTCATACTATTTTTTTTTAATAAGAATTAATTTATATTACATACCCCGTAATCTCAAAGTTAAAATAATTTTTTATTATTTTTATTTATTTCACTCAAAAATATTTTTTTTTATTTTAAAAATAATAATTTTACATTACCGAAATATCCTTCATTTTGACTAAAATTATACATATACAATTACACATATAATTACTTTATATATAAAGTCATGGATAAAAATATCAAATTTTTTATACACATTTTCACTAACTAATAAAATATTAGAACAAAGATTTTTTTTTTGTCTCATTCAATATCATAATTATCAATTTTAGTCACATCAAAAAATTTTATCAATTTTGGTCCCACTCAAATAAATCTTTTCAATTTTAGTCCCCAGATAATTGATTGAGACTAAACACGGCCGTGTTGAATAACTCAGAAGGATGACTAGGCGCTCTAGACAGTCAATACGGTGTTGATTATCCTACACTGAACATGGTTGTGTTCATATCCCTGTTCACCACATCAACACAACCATGTTCTAATCCATGTTCACGACTATGTTTTTAACACAACCATATTCTAGGCCATGTTCACTATCTTGTTCTCAACATAGCCATATCTATGTTCACGATCATATTTTCCATATAGTCATATCTTAGGTCATATTTTCCATATAGTCATATCTTAGGTCATATTTATTAATATTTTCACTTTTTTGTTAAAATTATTTGATATATGTGGACAAAAAATTGTGTTATTTTTAATAAACACAAAAATTTGTACAAATTATATTTGATTTGAATTTAAAGCGGGTTCTATTCTTTAAATGGGTCATTTAATTCTCCTTCCGGGTCGATTTGTTTTCCAACTTAGTTTTCGATGACTTCTTTGATCCGAAGAGATTTGGTCTTCGGTTTGACCTTGCCGGCTTTTGGAGAGCTTTGGTCTCCGTGCGGGCGATTTGATCGTCGGCTTTGGATTTGATGTCTTTTTTAGACGATCCGAGACTTTAATCTTTGATTTGGTTTTGCCGCCTTTTGGAGGGCTTTGGTCTCCGTGTTGGCGATTTGATCATCGGCTCTGGATTTGATGTCTTCTTTAGACTATCCGAGACTTTGATCTTTGCTTTGGCTTTGTCGCTTTTGGAGGACTTTGGTCTTCGCGTAGGCGATTTGATCATCTGCTTTGGATTTAGTGTCTTCTTTGGACGATCCGTGGCTTTAATCTTTGGTTTGGCTTTGCCGCCTTTTGGGGAGATTTGGTCTCCATGTGGGCGCTTTGATCATCTGCTTTGGATTTGGTGTCTTCTTTTGACGATCCGCGGCTTCGATCTTTGGTTTGCCTTTTCTGCCTTTTGGAGAGATTCGGTCTCCGTGTGGACGATTTGATCATCGGCTTTAGATTTGATGTCTTCTTTGGACGATCCGCGGCTTTAATCCTTGGTTTAGCTTTGCCGCCGTTCGGAGGGCTTTGGTCTCCATGCGGACGATTTGATCATCGGCTTTGGATTTGATGTCTTCTTTGGACGATCCGCGGCTTTGATCTTTGTTTTAGCTTTGCCGCCGTTCGGAGGGCTTTGGTCTCCGTGTGGCAGTTTGATCATTGGTTTTGGATTTGATGTCTTCTTTGGACGATTCGCAACTTTGATCTTTGAGGATGTGGATTTGGTGCTCCATAACGCTTTTGGTGGCTGTCCCTTTGACTTTTGGATTGAAGGGGGCCGAGTTGTTGCTTTGGTGAAGAACGCAATGAACACCTCGAAGCTTTGGGATGAACTTTGGATGCTCTTCTTTGGCTTTGATGGATTCCTCAACGGCTTTGACAGCTTTGATCCTTGAAGAGGTGAATTTGGTGCTCCATAACACTTTTGACAGCGTGTCCCTTTGACTTTTGGATCGAAGAGAGCCTAGTTGATGCTTTCTTGAAGAACACGGTGAACATCTTGAAGCTTTGAGAGGAACTTTGAAGACTTTCCCTTGGCTTTGACGAATTCCTTAACAGTTTTGAGAGCTTTGATCCTTCCTCCGGCTTGGACATACGACGAAGAACATTAACTTCATCGATTCGTCAACCAATGTTGGATCATTTGTCCAAATTAGCGACTTTCGATGAAGAACGCTTCGAATGACACGAAAAACATGAAGAACAATACAGAGAGAATCTAGAGACTTACCCCTTTGCTTGAATCTTCGATGCAACTTGTCAAATGAACTGGTCATGACTCCTATTTATAGGGGAATGGTAGCCTCAGCTTCCTTTTTGAATGGTGTCATGTGGCGTGTCCTGATTAGCCAATAGGAAGATTTTATAATATTTCCTTTTCCATCATATGTTTTTTTTCATTATTGACGGATTTGATTGTGCACCTTCCATTCTCGCCAAGATCTTTATATCATTGCCCTTTTTCGCAATATATTAATTTATATACTTCCTTTATTGACAAGATTGATTTATTTTGCTGCCAAATTTATTATGGCTCTATTTATGCACGTAATATTTGTACGTTATCTTCCATTTTAAGCAAATTTTTGCATTATTGGTTGATATTTATTGTACAAAAATTAACATATGTGCATAATTAAATACCATATATTTATATTATTGGAATTTTATTTTCTTCCAAAATATATGATATTTAATTTAATTTAGGCATTTAATTTTTAATGGCTACAATATATATTTATAATTAAACAAATATATTTTTTACAATTATTTTATAATATAAAAATAATCAATTGCTAATATTTAAAAAAAATGCAAAAAAAATTATAAAAATAATCATATATTAATATATATTTTTAATAATCATAAAATTATAACACTCTAGTACCGTGACTCCAGTGTATATTTCATTTCATTTCATCTATATAAAAGCAGCAGGTCTCCAAACTTTGGTAGGCTAAAAGACGAATGGATATAACGCCTACTTACCTCAGAGTCTGAATGAAGCCTTTACGACAGCTTAACTGCCGGGAGAGCCAATAAAGGTACTGGTGTAAGAGAAAAAATTGCGCTACAATTGTAAGCTCTTTTCTTTATCCAATTCCGTCAACCCTGGGGCCTTGGATGCGCTAGCAATTGGCACATAGGGGAGTGGTTGTTTAATTTATGATTATTAAAAATATATATTAATATATTATTATTTTTATAATGTTTTGCAATTATTTTTTAAAATATTAAAAATTGATTATTTTCTATATTATGAAATCATTGTACAAAATATATTTGTTGAATTATAAATATATATCAAATAATTTTAACAAAGAAGTGAAAATAATAGTCGTGAACATAGCTTAGAACATGGTTGTGTTTATAACAGTTCGTGAACATAGTCTATAACAAAACTGTGTTGAGAGCAGGGTCGTGAATATAGCATAGAACATGGTTGTGTTGATAACAG